TGGTATTTTATGGGGGGATTGTGGGATATGTAGTGTATTTTTAATGTTGTAAGCCACCCCAGTTGCGTTATGTGGAGGGGCGGGATAAAAATAAATGTTGTTGTTGTTTTGTGAACAGGAGTAAATGCCAGGGTCCAGTTGGTGAACTACACCAGCATAACTACACTGCCAACAGTATGCATGTTACATTATCAATCAGAGCACTTCCAGGGACCCCCGTGGATACCAAAATCCGTGGATGCTCAAGTCCCATTAAAGACAATAGTACCCCTTATATAAAATCGGAAATGAAGCTTGGAAATTTATATATTTTTTTAAATATTTTTCAAGCCGTGGATAGTTGAATCTGTAGGTAATGTATCTATGTATACAGCAGGCCAACTGTACTAGAACAGAGTCATATAATAACCATGTGGGTCATACAGAATATAAAATGATGAAATGAGAAGGACAAACCCTTTATTCAAAGCAACTGGTGTTTGAAAAAATGGACAGAAATTTGGCAAAATTTGAAAGCAGGCACTTGGCAAGTAAAAACCTTGTTGGGTTGCACAGGTGGTACTTTCTCTTTTGCTCTGCATTTTAAAGCCAAAAAATTTAAGATCTTGCCCAACAAAACACAAACCAGCAAAGCCACACCTGTTTTTAGTTTTTTCAAATAGTCAGCAACTGTAGGTGTGTTGGTTTACCCTAATTTGCTTTTACATACAGTCTCTCCAACGCATTCAGACTTGCCTAGTGTGTTGCTGCCTGTTTCCTAGCAACTCCACTTGCATTCTTCTTTAGTAGGTTAAACACATATGTATGATATTTCTTTGTCATAAAGCCAAAAGACAATCTCACCTTTTCCCCACCTGATTTAAATCAAAGGGATTTAAAAAGCTGTTTATTTGCTTTCTCTTTCCCAATACACAAGATCACTACTCCCACCCACCACTTTCTCCCCATACTATCACTATCCAAACAACAACAAAACGCTTCCTCTCCCTTTGTGATGCTTTTGAAATATTCTGCAAGCCACAGGGCAACTAATTTTGCATTAGCAGATCTTACATATAAGCTTGTTGCACTGTGTTCTCAGAACGTAATGAGTATGTGATGAGAACGGAACAGAAAGTATTTTATTGCACGGTATGATCCTCATTGAGTTCCCATTCTGTGCTCTGACAATCCCTAGCCCGTTTCAGGAGAAGAACTGTAAAAATGTGTCCTCAGCCAACAAGAACGCTTTCAGACCGTTCGATATGATGTGTATGCAATAATCCTACCCAGTCTCAATCTGTTCTTGTGTTCTGATTGGCTAAAACAATCTCCTCCCCTTCCATCCTAGAACATCCACAAACTCAACTCAACTCTTCCAGCGATGACACAATGAAGGTGTCACAGGCAATTTAATTTTTTTTATTTTTGTAGATTGAACTGCATCGTGTTTACAAGAAAAAACAATTAATGCTTGCTACCTAAACCTCTCGATAGCATTCTTTCCAATGCAGCCGTAGGGGTTTTCGCAACAGTGAGCATGCGCCAATGAGGGACGGCTGAGGAACTGCTTTAGCGCCAGTACTGGTACAACAGTAAATGCAGTGTGATAATATGTGTTCTCATAACGTTACTATTCTGTTATCAATAGTCTAATGCGGTAACACCCATTCCCATATCGTTACGTTCCAGGGACTCGATGGGAACGTTACAGGTACTTGTGCGATAAGCTTAATAGCCAAGAAATTTACTTGATCCTAGTCACATAGGCAGGGTTGTTAGCATGGGAACTAGCAACAACCCTATTCTTAATGTGAGAAAAATGTACAGGACTTCTGGCTGAGAAGACTAAATATCACTCCCTCAAACTGCAAATCCCAGGATTCCATAGGATGATGCTATGACAGTTAAAATAGAACCATAGTACTATAATTGCGCAATATGAATGGGACCTCAGTTAGGGTCTGTTTGGTGCCCTCTCAGTAACAGGGCCAACCATAACATTGGGCAGCATGAGGGGGGCACCCAAGGGAACAGAGTATCCAGAAAGGGCAGCAAGTGGTTAATCATTGTTTGTTCTTTTCATATTTTTGCTGCCAGTGAGGGAAAGAAGTACTTACAGTATTTTCTTCCTCAGGTGCCCCTGTACTCTGACTTGAATTGGTGTATAAATGTGTGTGGCAGGAGAGGGGTGTATCAATTACTTCCTTTAGCCCCAAACTGTCTTCATTTGCCAGAAGCTGTGCAGACATTTATCACTGGTAGATTTTCAAGAACCAAAACTATATGTCATTTCCATCTTCAGTGCAAGGTATCATGAAGTTCTTAGAAACTTGGAATACGGATGGATGGATGGGATGGATGGATCCATCTGTCACTTTCACAGATGCTCATTCACTAATCCATTCTGTCTCATTTCTGCACCATCCCTGATTACTATTTATTTTTTTTAAAAAAAGAGAGAGAGATAGCTGTGTTAAAATGTTTTATCAGAAAAAGAAAGGAAGAAAAAAACAGCTCTGAAGGGAAGAATCTAGCAGCAATTTTGAGACTAAGGGCCTTTGCAGACTGCTAGAAATAGTACAAATTGAGTCCACTTTAAGGGTTGGGATTAGGGAATCATGGGAACTGTATTTTATTGTGGCACCAGAGCTCTCTGACAGAGAGGGCTCAATGTCTCAGAAAAAAAGCAATTCCCATGATTCCCTAGCACTAACCCTAACCCTTAAAGTGGACTGAATTTGCACTATTTCTGGCAGTCTGCAACCCCCCTAACTGCTTTATTTTAGCATGATATCTACATGGTAAAATAAATTGGTGGTGCTGTATTGGTTTTCTGCACTCTTTTCCCCCCGTAGTTGGGTTTTTTAAAAGCACAAATATTTGTGTTCATTTTCCACATTCTCACAAAATATATTTTATGCATTTTTCTATGTATTTTAGCCTAAAATATGGATACATATTTGCATTTTAGCCTAATATATACATATACATTTTATCCCTACATATGTTAGAAATGTACATATTTTTGCATTTAACCTAAATTGTAATTTTATGTGCATTTTCACACATTTTTGAGACAAGAACTGTTTTGTAAAATTCTGAGAAATTTAAAAATGATTATAAGTATGTTCGCTGCTGTTGTTGTGTGCCTCCAAGTCATTTCCTACTTATGGCGACCCTAAAGTGAACCTATCACAGGATTATCTTGGGCTGAGAATGGGTGACTTGCCCAAAGTCATGCAGTGGGTTTTCATGGCTGATAGGTAACCGAACCTGGTCTCCAGAGCTGCAGTCCTATACTCAAACCACTGCACCAGACTGTCTCTCAAAAATGTCCTAATCTGCATATTAGTCCAGAGAATATCTATCAAATCAGTTTTAAAATGTGGACTTGAAAGAAATCTTTGAGCATGTATAACCTGGAGGAGGAAATCACTTGTGGTGTGGGATGGATCCATTCCACCTACCTAAACTCTGGAGTGGCAAGTCAAATCTATCATAGCTTCCACAGATAAATCTAAGCATGCACAAACATTGCACATGCCTTACTAGGAAGCATGTGACATGCTCTAGGAAACTGCCCCATGTGCCCTAAGCCAGTCTTGCTTTAGGAGTAATTTCGTTAGTTCCAGGAATGAGGAAAACACAAAGATAGTATTGAAAATCTCTGGATTTCTGCAGCCTGCAAAAGGACCAGACAGGCTTATAGATGGAGCAGGAGAAAGAAACATTTGATAACTGAATTTTCTTCTTTTGAGGTTGCCTGGGCAACAAGAAAATGAAAATTTGAAAGTATACATTATATATTTATTGATTTTATAATCCCCTCTCCCAAAAAAAACCCTATAATTTTGTTTTGAAAATAGGCAATAGATTCTAGGTTAACTTTGGAAAAGGGTGACAGATATATTGGGAGCAGTGCATTGCATGTAAAAATATTACCTTAACATCCTAGCAAATGGAACATTTTATTATCCTAGAACCAAGTTTTGTTGCAGAATCAATAGAGAATTAGACCTACAAGAAACACATTTTAAACCACTTCCCAGAGTTGCAACCACCTGCCATGTACTCTTTTTGTGTATGGACAAAAGGCAGCTGGTACAAAAAGAACGCTGACAGAAAAATCTATTACATTTTGTCAGTGGGGTACTTTTTTGTTCTGTAAAATTTGATATTCTGCCTGAGACAAAAAGATGCCCCATGTCTTTTTGTGCTTGAGACATGATAGACCAAAACTGGTAAGAGTATTTGGATGAGGACCAATGCCCCCCCCTTCCTGCTTACAGGTAAGAAAGCAGCAAGTGCATGATCACTTGATCCTATCAAAGAAGGACCAAATGAAGATGCTCATGTCATGAGAGGCAGCAGCCATCCACAGACAGTGCACTGTAGAGCAGCCAGAGGCTGCATCTGCACTGTAGCAATAATTCAGTTTGATATCACTTTAACTGCCATGCTCAATGCTATTGAATTCTGGGATTTGTAGTTTGGTGAGATATTTAGCCTTATCTCTCAGGGCACTCTGATGCAACAACAAACTACAAAATCCAGGATTCCATAAGTTGGAGCCATGGTAGTTAAAGTAGTATCAAACTGCATTATTTCTGCAGTGCAGAAGAAGCCAGAGACATAATTTGATAATGCCCAGGGCCAAAGAAGGATTAATTTAAAAAAAACAGTTTGATTTCAACAAAAAATCTTCACAGAAAACATCCTTTACTGCTGAATCCATGAAACAAATTGAGAGGCATGATATGTATTCAGTGGGTGCAACAAGAGGAACTCTACCAAAATGAAAGTATGGAAGCCCTTTGACATCATTAAGCTGAAGGCACAGACTGATAGACTGTGCCTGGCAGGTTTGATGGAAGGTTGGAGTTAGAACTGTGTCATCCAATCTCAGGATGTTGCTGCTTCAAAGTAATTAAGAACCCGAAGAGATGTTGTGAATTCACAAGAGAACTGATGTTTCACAATAGAGAAACCACAGTAATGTAGAATCACTAATAAGGGGAGCCAGCATGGTGCAGTGGTTTGAGTGTTGGACTACAACTCTGGAGTCCAGGGTTCAATTCCCTGCTCAGACAAGTCACACACTGTCAACCCCAGAAAACCCTATGATAGGTTCACCTTAGGGTTGCATAAGTTGGAAATTACCTGAAGGAACACAAAAACAAAATGAGCTGGTTGCTTTCCAGAATATGAAGGAGACTGTGGTTATGTGAAGTCGTAGGCTTTCATGGCCAGCATCCATAGGTTTTTTGT